AAAAAAAAAAAAAAATAAATAAAAAAAAAAACACATCATAGTAAAATTAATACCTTCTCAGCTTCGCATCGAAGCTAATATTTAAATACATTTAATCTATGTCTTTTTATTTTAAATATTATTACTTAAAATAAGTGTAATTAATTTTTTGTAGAGCAAAATATTTTGTTTTTATTATAATTTTAAAACTAAGTAGAAATTTAGGATTGTATGATATGCAACATATTATATAAAAATGTTCATTTGTTTATAATAAAAAATATAGCTCTATGTACTTTACATTTTAATAATAATAATAATGTTAAATTAATAAAGAATATTTATTTTTCATTTAAAGAATAGTCTTTTTATCAATTAATATGATTTTCTAATTTTAACTTAAAATAATTAATTAATTCAGAATATTTTTCTTTGAACAAAAAATGTCAAAAAGATCATTATGTAACTGTTATTACCTTAATATAAAACTATGCACATTATAACTAACAATAAATTTTTCTATTAAATACTTTTGATAAAACATTTTTAATTTTAGTATGTGTAATTTTGTTTAAAAATTGAAAGTACACTAATGTTTTTGGGTTGTATTTTATAATTTGGAGATCAGTAAAAGTGTGATTCAATAAAAATGGCTCACATACTTATATCCCATGATATATGCATAAATGAAGCAAAAAGTGTTTAATGGGTTTGATTCTAGTAATATTTTTCTACAATGAAACCAGCTAAAAATTATAATTAAGGTCTCTAAAAGCAATAATTTGTTTTTAAATCTTCTAAACAATTTTTAAATATACAATTACATTATAAAATCATGATGATTACAATAAAACTTAATAGTTTTCTAGTATTGGATTAAGTACACTTACCAGGTTCATGAATCATATAATGAACCCATCCTTTGCTCTGCTGAACACCAATTGATCTCCATTCATCTTCTGTTAACAAATGTGTTTTTGGTATAGTTTTGGCCATTTCTTTAGGTAAAACAACATGCCTAAAAGTTATTCATTTTGGTTAAAATAAACTTAATATCTCAGACAATTTTTATATAGATTTAAAAACATATATTTATATAAAATTACTATTTAAAACTAAAGGGTTTTTCAATAGGGACGCTACAAAAGTAAACCGATAGGGACAGCAAACGACGCTATATTTTTTCCCGCTCTCTTGACATTTCTCTTCAGTAAGGTTTGCCATTTCATCATGGAAAGATATACGATCCAACAACGAGTCGAAATTATTAAAATTTACTACCGAAATTCGGAGTCAGTGGCCTCAACTTTAAGAGCGCTACATGCAATTTATGGTCGTCATAATCGTCCTGCCAGATCAACAATTGAGCGTCTAGTGGAAAAATTTGAATCCACAGGCACAGTACAAAATGTTCCCGTGCCAGTGAGACAAAGAAGTGCCCGTAGTGTCGAGAATATTGCTGCCTCTAGCGCATCAATTGAGGAAGACCCAAATCAGTCTCTCACACGTCGTTCTCAAGAGTTGGGCGTATCTGTGACGTCGTTGTGGCGAATTTTGCGAAAAGATCTTGGCCTACATCCTTACAAGATCAAATTGACGCAAGAACTGAAGCCGCTTGACCACCAGAAGCGTCGTATGTTCGTGAATTGGGCTGAGCAACAACTTGAAAATGATCCGGATTTTCATCGAAAAATCATCTTCAGCGATGAGGCTCATTTCTGGCTGAATGGCTTCGTCAATAAGCAAAATATGCGTTATTGGTCAGGCAGCAATCCACACGTACTCCATGAGTCACCATTGCATTCCGAAAAAATTACTGTTTGGTGTGGTTTATGGGCCGGCGGCGTCATTGGGCCGTACTTCTTCCGTGATGATCAAGACCGGCACGTTACTGTGAATGGGAATCGCTACCGCTCAATGATAACCGAATATTTTTGGCCCGAATTGGATGATATGGACTTGGACAATATGTGGTTTCAACAGGACGGCGCCACAAGCCACACAGCGAATGTCACAATCGATTTATTAAAAACCAAGTTTGGTGAACGTATTATCTCACGAAATGGCCCAGTCAATTGGCCGCCTCGGTCGTGCGATTTGACGCCGTTAGACTATTTCCTGTGGGGCTACGTCAAGTCTATGGTCTATGCCAACAAGCCAGCGACGATTGATGAACTTCGTACGAATATCGAACGTGAGATTGCAGCAGTATCGGCCGATTTATGCTTGAAAACCGTCGAAAATTGGGTTCAGCGTCTGGACTTCTGCAAGCGTGCCCGTGGTGGCCATGCAAAAGAAATCGAGTTCCATACATAATGGCATCGAATGTACTTTCACATAAATAAAGAATTTCATTGATATCCAAAACCGTTTTTGATTTATTTAAAAAAACTTTTGTAGCGTCCCTATTGAAAAACCCTTTACAATCCTTTGGGGTGGCCAAAACTAGTTAAGTCTATTAGAAGCTATTTGAAATAACTTTTCAAAGATATTGATAATCAATATCTTTGGACAACTATTTAAAACATAAATATGCGTTTTTCAAATAAAAAAACCTGAATTGATAAGTTTTACAAATACCTAAAAAAGATTTTATTTAACCAATATTTTATTCAATTAAGTAATTAAAATAAGACATATTTGTATTGTATATACGCTTTAAAATATTTTTATACCATTCAATTACTAACATAAAATTGGAAAAGTTTGTGTTGTGAAAATTTGAATTTATATACTTAAGTTATAAATTAACATGTTAAAATAAAAATAATATACTATATTTAAAATTTGATGAAATTTACAACTAACGTAAAAAAAAAAGGGTATTTGAATGAATTGTCATTATAATTGCACAGATTCTTGATCAATGAATTGATAATAAATTAATTAATACGTATTTTTTTCTACAAACCTGTATTCGTATTTGTCATCGTAGTACTTATCCGAGTAATATATTTGTTTATCAGACATTGTTCTGATGAATTTTATTCGTTAACAAAACAACTAAATATAAGAAAATATGAAATATTCGAAATTGTTGAAAATTTAAGCCACTGTGACTAATAGGAAAATGCTGTTTCCTACTTTCGAACGCGGAACATTAAATTTATTGTAAACGTTCTTCTCCTTTTTTCATAAAAGCTATTGTAATATTATATACCTGTACTGAAATGTAAGGTAGAAAACACACCGGCTGTCAAAATAAGAAGATATACACAACGTAGTATCCTAGACTTGAACATTGAACAATAACAGAAATTTGGCGGTTGTATAATAATAGGAAGATGCGGGTCGCGGGTTATAGAATGATGCTAGTAACAGTAATAACCATAACCTGTACCAACGTCATTATAGTAGCTAAATTTTTGTCAAGTATATTCAGAACTGTAGAATATTCACAGTAATAAGAATAATTATTATTTATATTTTATGGATATCTTTTCAATTTCAAATTTTCTATTTCTCATATAAAATCTTTACCTATTCCATGGTATTACTTTTGTTTACGGTCATAAATTCGATTAAAATATGAAATTATAACACGAATTACTCTTCATCTCATAGGAAATATTGCACTTGACGATTTAGTCTTTGAAGAATTAGAATTATTTAATGAATTTTTCAAGATATTAAAATTTATTAAATTTATTTAAGCTATTTTTTTGTAACTCTTAAATATGTTTATATGATCCTTTTAATGATTTATCTTATATAATGATATTATTGTGCATTATCATCTGAAGTAGTTACATAAACAGTAACAATTATGTAGCTTCAGTTTGCAATAAATTAATTTTTAAATAAATCTCATACATATATTGAGTGTTCATTAAGTAAGGAAATTGTTTTCGATTATTCTCATTGTAGTAATAATTGACCTGTTTCCTGATAATTAAAGGAACATATCAACAAAAATTGTATTTCTTTGATTATAAGTTTATTTCAACTAATTTATAAAATACATTATAATATGAAAATTGTGTACCATTAATTGTATGAGAAAGCATTTTTTTTTTTTAAGGAATATAATTTTTTCATAACTTAAATGAAAATTTAATTTTGCTCTTTTGACTAGTAAGAAATTGGTTAAAACGTTTTTTTAATCTTAGACTCTCGATGAATAATGAACATTTTTTCATGAGTAAATTAAAATGATCAAACTCTAAACCATGCCATCTAATACATATCAATATAATATTTAAAAATTCAATTGATTCAATTATTATATTTTAACCAAGATATTCCCTTAAAAATTTTAGTAGATTCTCAATCTTTCACATAGAAGATATTATTTTAATTTGTCATATCCATAGTCTATTCCAACTATTTAGGGTTGTATCAACCTTAAAACTACTTGATAGGAGTTTTACAACAGCTGTCAATCTGATTTAACCACATAGCTGAGGGAGTGATACATTATTTTAATTAAAATGTTAATTTCAAATTTAATTATTTTTATTCCTTAAATTCGAAAAATGTGAAATTTTCTTTCCAGAAAGTACAGTAACTATCAAATGGGTCAAATAATGTGTATTATTTATTATCATATTATATTAATTTTATGTGCACTATTATTTTATTTATATCATGAATAAAACTATAAACTTCTTTTTTGCATGAATGTTTCAGTTATTTATAGTGTAAAATGTTTAATAATATAAATAACTGAAACAATTTGAAAGAAAATTTAATAATTATTATCAATAATTATGAAAATATAATTATAATAAATATATAAATAGTTTACAGTCAAAAAATAAAATCTTACAATATAAAATACAAGTTAAATAAACAAAAAACAATATGTACGTTGCAACAAAGTAATTTACTAAATGACTATTTACTCCGTAAAGTACTTCGTAAACGTAAAAATAAAGCATGTTTTGACATTCTTGATTCACCAGGAATATATTTATCATAAAAGTCTTGAACAAACTCTTCTATTTTAAATCCAAATTTTTGATAGAGAAACATAGCTGGGTTGGAAGGAGATACATGTAAGGTAATATCTCTAGTCATGCACGTCTAAAAATTAAAAATTAGTAATAACAAATTAAAAAAAAAAAAAACTTTATTCAATATTACTTGAATTAAATGATAAACCATAAATGTTGCAATACCACAATTAGTCCAGTATGGTCTGGTAAATAAAAAAGTAATATAATTTTCATTAGTACTGATATCAGGTACCATAAAACCAAAACCAACAACTAAATTCTTATATAAGGCTATTATACTGAAATCTGGATACAATAAGCTGTCTGTTACTGTATAAATAAATGTGTTTAAATAAATACATATACAAAATGGTATCTTCCAAAATAATGCTTTGATAATAATTATTCACCAGTTAATTCCTTATTTGGATTATTTTCCAACTTTTTAAGTAAATAAACATGTATTTATCTTTAAATTAAATATTAATCGCGAGAAGACTTAACATTTCTGCCATTTGCATAGAATAAATAATTAAAGCAACAATTGTGTTTTAAATACATTTTGATGGATTATTTTGTATTAAGATTTTTTATATTCTAATTATTTATATCTTTATTTCACAATAGTATTAAATAAAGTTAACTTGATATGATGTTTTATCAGTTAGTATGATAAATTCCAACAGTTTAAGTTAATGTGAGTATGATGCACAATGGAATAATGGGTTTGTTTCATTAAAGATTTTATAGAAAATTCAATTTTAATAAACGGAGCTAATTTAATATAAATTTACCTTAAATGTTTTGGTGACAAAAATGATCTTCTTTTTTCGGTTAGGGGTTAAAAGATAAAATTAAAACTATTTAATAATATTTTAGTTGAGAAATACATGTTATTAAAATAATAATTTGATCACAAGTTATGGGCATTGTCAGTTAGATATAAAACACTCTTTATATATAGTGTACAGTAAGTAAGGAAATAGGTTTCTATTGTTCTTATTGTTCATAACAATTGACCTGTTTCTATACTTATTAAACACACTATATATATTTTTTCCATTGATAAATAATAATATTATTATTATATGAATTATTTAAAAACTTTCACTTTGTGAAGAAATTGATCAAAAACTACTACAGAAGGTATTACCTGTTCCCCTAAAATACAACCAGACAGTCAAAATATAATATTCTACAAAACTTACAATCAATACCCGGCCAAAAGAATTCCCTTGCTAAAGCATTGACTGATTTTATGTGTTTAGCACGTACATAACTATAATCTATAGTTTCTGATTCCATACAAGGAGGTAATTTATTTTTAATCCTATAGTGATCTTTTATTTCTTTTAACATCTTTAGCCACAGTGGTTTTGTTTCTGCATCTTTGAGAATATATGGCTTCAAATGTCTGAAATGTAATTACAAACATATAATTTAAAAATATATAATAGCTTCTAAAGTTCATAATTATTATTATTAATGACCATATAACAACAAAAATGTTTAAAATCAAACTTTAAGATTTATAATATTTAATTTAACTATTCTTTTTATTCTTACCGATGAGTATATGGACTAATAATTGTTTTAGGCTTGGATCCACAAAGAAGATCCGTTAAAAGTATTGGTGTTGGATTTTCAGTTTTTTCAATATAGTATTCTTTTTTCTGTTCCTTTAACACACATGTTCTAGTGAATTCACTTGAACTATTTCAGTAGTACAATTTTGTTTACATACTTGATAACGATTAAAAATATTTAAATACTGTTGAGATAAAGATTGAACATTAATCTTATGTGTTGACAGTGAATAATTTAAAGTATTTTTAATGATTTGATTCTGACTACTATTATAATTATCAGAATTATTGTAATCTATTTCATAAGATGGGCTTATAGGTAAATAAGGATGTATTTTACTATTAGTTTCTGAAAAAACATCAATATTTCTACAAAAATTAGGTAGCAAATTGTCATTAAGTTGATCTAAATTTTCATTATCACAATTCAATTGTCTAAAAATAAACAAAACAATATCAATTAATTTTTTTATCAAATAAAGTTTTTAAAAATTAATATTACTCTTCTATGTATTGATTGTTTGGAAAATTAAAAATTGAATCTAATTTGCTTAAATCATCAATATCCATAGATAATGGTGATTTTAACAATTCTAGTGAAGCATCATTATTTCTTTGCTTTTGATATTGTGTAGTTATCTCATTTTCTAACCTAGGTATTTATATAAAATGTTTTTTACAAGTTAACATGATTATAAAGCGAATGTGATTTCAATACTATACATTTTATTAACAAAACATTTATTGTCTTTGTGTGGATTTTGAAATTTCTCTGTTATTTCTTTTACTAAATTTTCACCATCCATTTGTGTTTTTTTATTTTCAATTAAAGCATCCTTTAGTAACCTAAAGATTTATCAAAATAAATTAATAATTAAAATTTAGCTTTTCAAATGTTTACAATATTTTCAGTTAAAATATTATTTACTCAGTCGTCACATTTATTGCATATAAGCTACTACTACTTAATTCATTATTGACGTTGATACTTTCCAGATTTACATTTTTGAGATTATTTTTTAAATAGTTATCATTTTTGCATAGTATTTTTGTTTGATTGAAATTTTTTTTTAATAATCTACAACCATCTATCTATAAATTCAAAATTATAAAACATAAGTTCTCTTAAAACGCTCAATAGTTTTAAAGAACAATTAATAAATGCTGCAAGTTGTATAAATACCTACTTTTTCAGTGTTTTGAAAAGGCAAACAGTAATCATGTTCTTTTTTAAACCATCTGTTAAAATTTATTATTTTAGTAGTACGTATTGATAGTTTTCGATTCAACTCAAAAGCATTATTCTTTTTGAGTTTCTTTCGAATCCTTGGAAAATTTTTTAATTCTTGTATTTTAGATTCTTTATCTATATTCATATCAATATATCATACAACAAATATATGAAAAAATTGATTCATAAAATTTATCTATGTATTTAACTAAGTCTTGATTACACCTTTATTATTCATATTTCATAAGTACTATTGTGAAAATTTTCTGAAGTTGTCTTATTTTGGTAAAAAATTAAACATTTTATCAATACTTTTTAAAATAAAAACCGGCTTAAGTTTTAAAGTATTAAAGCTGTAACACGTTTTTCAATTTTTTTATTTTTATCATATTAATATTGTTATCACTAACCAATTTTTAACCAATAATTATGAGGAATTCGAATATAACTTCATTTTTAAAATACAAGTCATACATCTGTATTATTCTTATCATACTGCGGTGTTATAAAAATTGGGTGATGTGTTTTTTTTGAATTCGTTACTTTTTTTTCGTCTTAAATCATTACTGGCGCCTGAGACTTCATAACATTTTTATTAATCAGACATAAAATTATAAATAAAATAATTTAATGAGTAATTTTAAAATAATTTAATTTATTATTAAGTGTAATAAATTTTAATATGTCTTTATCATTGAAACTTTTATTTTTAATGTCATTCTTCCTTGCCCAGTGGATCGAATGTAAGTTTAACAATAAAAACTAGCAGTAGTATATTTTTATATTTTTATATTTAAAATAGGTAAGAGAGAAGAGTATGTAACATGTGGAACAGTTGCCAAACTCTACAACACTGATCTTAAAGTAAGACTACATTCCCATGATGTTAAATATGGTGCTGGTAGTGGTCAGCAATCTGTAACAGGAACAGAATTATCTGAGGATATAAACTCACATTGGGAAATCAAAGGACCTACCAATAAGATTTGTAAAAGGGGGTATATTTATAATTATTATAAGAACATTTTAAATACAAAATTTTAAACTAAAAAATATATATTTTTAGAGAACCTATTAGATGTGGAAATATGATACGACTAACTCATTTGACGACAAAAAAAAATCTTCATTCACATTTATTTAGTTCTCCTCTATCAGGTAACCAAGAAGTATCTGCATACGGTAATCAAGGAGAAGGTGATTCAGGAGATCATTGGTTTGTTGATTGCAGTGGAGATTTTTGGGAAAGGGATGATGATGTTCAGTTAAGACATGTAGATACTGGAGCGTAAGTTCTTTATATATTAAGAAAATATAATGAAAAATTCATCACAATGGTATTTAAGTTATGGTTGAATAAAACAAAATCTAGTTTAAGACTCTACATTTCAAAATTTTTTTTTATATTTCTGAAATAATAATTTTTTTATTATTGAAGACCATTAATATCATGGATGCAGGGGCATATCTTCTTATGGATTTGTTTAAATTTCTTAAACAAAAAACAACTTCTTTATTACATAATTAAATTTAGTAAAAAATTATTTAGAAATCTAAACAAATAGATAATTTTACTTTCATCAAAGACTTCCATTGCTTTAATTTTGTAAAATTTATCTGATTTCAATATCTATATTTTTAGATTTTTAATGGCTTCAAGTTTATCTTATGGCCGACCTATTAGTGGTCAAAAGGAAATTGCTGCTGTTAAAAACCCTGGTCCTTTCTCAACACATTGGCGAGTGAAAGAAGGAATTTTTATTCACACTGATGAATCTAATGAATTTCATTCTGATTATCATACAGAATTATAAGGATTTTTATTGAAAAATCATTAGATTAATTGTTTAATTGCTATTTATTGCTGTGTAATATGGATATATGTAAAATAATAAAAACATAGTTTTTTTTCATTATTATTATTGTATGATGTACATACTATCTAAATTATTAATAAATGATTATAATTTTGGTATAATATAAAATAAGAATATTCAATTCATGATAATGCAGTTAATAAAATTAATAACTATTTATTGTATAAATATCACATACAATTATTGATAATTAGAATTATCTATTTTTATAATTCATAATTATAGTATAAATAACCTATAAAAGATTTTGTATAATTAATTTTATATTTAACTTGCATAAAGTATTAACCCTGTGTTTTGAATTAAAAAAATATTACAATAACAATTTTTAACAATATTTTTGATTAATAACTCGGTCTAGTAAATTAAAAAAAAAAACTTAAAACCCAATTATAATTATATTTTTATGAACTTATTTAATTATACAATTAAAATTAAATATATATATTGTATATCTTACTGTGTATATAACAACCAAGTAGTAAATATAACTATGATAATGTAACTAATAATAATCAATAACCTTTGATTTCTTTGATGATAGTACTCATTAAAATAATTTTATTTTGCATCCTTTTCGCCAATCTGAAATATACATTATTTAAATAATGAAAAAGTATTTATAGAAAATAAAATTGAATTTGTTTCATAATTAACAAAATAATTAGTTATTAAAGGATTATTTTGAATCTAAGCTGCTATGTAGTAAAAAATTAATATATTATCACTTTTTTAAAATTTGTTCTTAAATATAATGTTAAGTTAACGGTTATTGAACATTATTTTTTTACAGAGTAATTGCTTAATTGTCTCTACTATAGTATCATATAACATAAAAATTATTAAAGTATTTATTTGAAATATTTTTAATGTCTTTCAAAAATGTATTTTTTTTTTATACTTTTAAAAGTATGTAAAACAATAAGTTATTCAGTTTTGATGCTTCCAATTTTTATTCTGCATTTTTTTTTTTTTAATTCTACTATATAATATGAACAACAATAATTACAACTGTTATATTTATTCACCAAGGTAACCTTGTTGAATATATTAATTTGATTTATAAATTTAAAAAAAAGGTTACTTTTAAATTCTATAAGATTTTAAAAAATGTTGTATTTTGTAAAGATTTATGAAAATCTTATTCTTAATTTACTAGTAATTTAAAAAAAAAAATTAACGTATCAAAAAATAAACTTAACAAATAATAATAACAATTTTTCTATTTGAAACACCAAATAATCACAAAAAATTATTATGAAGATAAAACCATATTGTCATTAGCATAAATTTATGAAAAAATTTGGAGACTAAATTTATTTTTTCCCACCTTGAATATCTTTTTGTATAAAAATATATAATTTTCTTAAAATATTAGGGTGCCCCTTTGATTTTTTCTTATGCACATTGCACTTAGTACCAGTATGTTTAATTTAAGAATATAAAAATTAGTTATACTCCTTACTCTTGTAAAAATCATGTATACTCACTTAAATATGCATTAAAAGTTATAAAAATGTTTAATTTAAAACATAAGTATTTTGAATCTACCATGAAACATTATATCAAGGTCGCTAACTATAGAACCACTAGTTAAGAGACAATTTATGTTTTAAGATGAATTAGAGATTTATTTTTAACTTAAATTTAAGAAAATGGCTAGATTTTGAATTGTTTTAACTTGTGTATTATAAAATAATGATGTAGTACTTCAAATTTTTTGAAATAAAAAGTATATTTTATTTTGTATTTTTCAAAATATTGTGATTCTCAGTTATCATTTATATATGTATCTAAAATGGTTAACTAATATAACTAAATTAAAAGTATTTTTTTTTTTTTAATGAAAAATAATAATAAATATTTAAATGAAAATATAAATTTTTTATATTAAGTTACTTAAATGGTCACTAATTCAGTTATTCCATAATAAATAATTTGAACTATGTGGAATTAATTAAGTTTTATTTAAGTTTCAATATATCTATTCAAGTATGGGTATAATATACAAATAATCATAAATGATATTATGACTATATTTATATTTACTAAAAAAATAAATAAATAATCATTTAAATTTATTAAGCAATTCTGTCTATAAATGTTAGTCTGTCTAAAATATTAACACTTTAAAAAAATCATTCACTAATAATTATTTACTATTTAGGTAGTAATAATTATTACCTAAAGAGAATAACATTTTTAATAAAAGCTAAAAGTTATTAGCACACAATTCACATATTAGTTAATGATCATTTTGTTTAAAAATAAACTCTCTAATACAATCTAATATTAATCATTACATTATTTAATAATAGTATTTGTGATAACTGGTAGTAAAATATACTAAAAATTGTATTTAAGCGTTTATTAAGCAATTACATCAGAAAAAAAAATTAAGCATGACAATGACAATGGATGAAAAATTTAAATAACAATTTATGTTTATTATATATAAAAACAAATAAAAATTTTAAGTATATTAATTTCTAAGCGACTTATAAAGTACCTCATTTAAATACTTGTATATAAAAGGTGTACAAATGCCTAAACCAAACATTAAAATATACGGCACAAATTTGAAGTTTATGTGTGGTTTTTTTCTCAACAGAAAAGCTAACATACTTAGTTTCTTTTCTGAATATGGTGGGTATTTCACTCTAATGAATAAACAGAATTATTAAATACTGCCACAAAGATTAATGTTTATTACAATATAACTTCCATTGAACAGAAGTTTTACTGTATGAGTAGTTATACTCACGAAGAAATTGTTTCTCCAATTACATTGTAATCTTTGATTAATACACTTTTACGATGGGTGAATGTATCAAATGAATGTTTTCCATGATAAGCTCCCATTCCACTCTGACCAACTCCTCCGAATGGTAAATTCTCAACTGCAATAAATAATTAATGAAGTAATGGGTTTAAAAATATACACTATAGGTAAATACCGCAATCATTCATGCAACTAAATCTTAATTTTTATTTTTTTTTTAACATTTGAATTAAGCAGAAATTTACCATACCTGATTATTAGTATAACACTAAAACAGTTATTTAAAAAAGTAAAGCTTGCTTACTAACATAAAACTTGATAGTCAAATCAGAAATGGATAAGAATTGTGCACTAACACAAAATTAAAAGCTTAACATACTAATATGCTACTAACTTTTGTATACAATTTTAGAATATTCGGTTATTTAGATAAGAACTGCATGGCATAACTTGTTACTATTGCTAAGAAAATTTTAGATAGCACCGTTACCTTAGCAAAAATGCTACATCATAACTATAAAATTAACTTCATTTAAGTAGTACAATAAAATTAAACTTGTATAAAGCTATTAGACAAAATTTCATGCAAACTTTTACTTTAAACTAGTTACTTTTACTAACTTTAAAATATTTCAATTTAAAAAGATTACCTATAAGGCAGAGAAGTGAAATGAGCAACTTATGAAATTCTTGAATAACCTATAGTTGATATTTGAGGTCAGTAACTTTTATGTCATATTCTATACATAGAAGAATTTAGTCATTGTTAATTGTTAAAATGACTAATATATGCATTAACTGTAAAAGCTGTTATCTAAATACTGTAGTTGCACAGTACCACAATAAGTTTATACAATATGAGTGTATTTCATTTCCACTTTTACTTGATTCAAAATATTTAAATGTTAAAATGTTTTTAAAATTATGGTATATATTTAAAAAAAGAGTATTGAAAACCTTACTGCAGATACCTAAAAATTAAGATAAAATATGAAAAAATGTGAAACTTCAGTATAATGTTACAATTGGAGCATTTCCTGAACATTTTCTAATATTAATTTTTAAATATGCCTTTAAAAATACATATTTACCTCTTTAAATAAAATATTAACAATTTAATAAGGTTTTTTTTACATATGTGACATGAATTTGCAAAATATATACTTATTGACTTTTAAAATTATTTCTAAAATTGCTCATTCCACTATACCAGCCTGTATTCAAGGAAGGTGCCAGAAAATATTTTTTAAATTCATTCATATGTTGAGAGAGGATTATGTTCTGTTTTTACATCTAATATAACTCTTTTTATTTAAGTTTAACAACTCACATGTAACTTAATAGTAATATTTTTTTTAAATAAAAAAATTACTATAATTATTAAAAATTAATTTTAAAAACTTTTTTTAGAAGATATTTTCCTAAAGATTTTCAATATGATATCTATTTTTATTTTATTCTGTTGTAATTTTAATATAATCCATTTTAATGAAAACTTTCTATTTAAAATGAATTTGTATTTATCTACATAAAACTTTTGAACTTAAATATGTGCATCAACACTCATAAATTTATGTGTACACAATAACACAAAATCATAAATTTATTCTACTCACCAGAAACGTGTACAATAGTATCATTGACACAAATACCACCAGCACTCACATTTTTTATTATATTTTCAATAATGTCTTTAGTTTTTGAAAAAATGTACAAAGCCAATGGACTATGATTTCTATACAAATTTATTATTTACTATCACCAATAAGATTCATTTAAATTTCATACACACATACAATAAATTTTGAGAATTTTATTATATTAACATTCAACATCTATTTTTGATTAATGTATAATGGCTAGAAATGTAAAAATATGGTTTTTTACATTTCTAATAATGGTCAAATGAAATATCATTCATTAGCAAAATTAAATAATTAGTAAAAGTATAGAATTATTATGCATTTCTTTAAAATATTTATCCAATTAAAAAACATATAAATCATTAACAAAATTGTAAATTTTATAGGACACAAGCATTTAAAAATTATTATAAAGAATAAAAATAATTAAGAAAATCTAGAAAATTGTTGTTAGTAAAAAGATGCAGATAATATACATATAAAATAACTTTAGAAATTTTGATTTTTTAAATTACCCGCATAATGACTAACAGTGTCATTAATAACAAATGATCCACTAGATGTTTGTCTCCTAAACAATTTCTGCATTTCTCGGTCAGAAGAAAAGACATATAATGTTAATGGCTTACTCCTGGAGTATAAAAACAATATTGACAGTTATTGGCTATTGAAAGCTAACTTTAATTTTTTACATAATTTATAAAATAAATACATCCCTGAAGTGGTATGAACAAATTTTTGAAATTTTCATAAAAGCTTTTCAATAACATATTATTAGAAAGCTACAAAATCACTAATAAAATTTTAAAAAAAGTCAACAATATTCTAGATTAAAATATACAATAAATAAACTTATAAAAAAATAATTTGCTTAAGTCTCTAAATATTTTTCAAAAGTAAAATAACTTTATTACCTGCTGTTTATGAAATTAATTGCATCATATGCATTATCAACATTCAATATAGGTAATATTGGTCCAAAAATTTCTTCTTTCATTATGGGATCTGATGGTTTCACATCAGTTAGAACTGTTGGTTCAATAAATAGCTCATTTTGATCATGACGACCGCCAACTATAATTGTCCCACTTGTATTCATCAGATCCAATAATCTCCTACAATTTTTATTTTATTTAAAAATATTAAAAATGAGAATAGTTTTTCATCTGAATAGAGCATGAACTAAGAACATACTTAAAATGTTTCTCAGAAACAATTCTACAAAAATCAGGAGAATCTTTAGGATTTTCAGTAAACCAAGTTTTCAGAGTACTTTTTATTTTGTCAACTAATTGATTTTGAACTTGTTTAGTACATAAAATATAATCTGGTGCAATACATGTCTGGCCAGCATTAATGCATTTTCCCCACATTATTCTTTTGACAGCAATATCCATATTCACTGATCCATCAATATATAAAGGACTATAATAATAAATAAACATTTATCAAATTTAATAATAAATTAAAATTTTTAAGTTATAATTAAACAAATTAAATTCTATATTTCTCATTGAATAATTTTTTAGTTAAATTCCTTTTTAACTCAAATACATAATCATGAAGTTATAACATAATAAATATAGATATGTAGAATAATAAAAACAAATGGAAATTTTTAGTCATCTTTAGCTAAAATGTCTACCTACCTAATATTTTATACAGAATTTTCAATAAGTATTTAATCACACAATTTTTTTAATAAAAGTTATTTTCTTATAAAATTGGTACATGTTTTTATTTCTATTATCAAATATACATTCAATTAATCTATTGTTCTTTAAAATAAAAAAATTTAAAATCAACAGTGATTATTAAAATTAACTTTTAAACTATTTCAGTTAACTAAATGTGATTGGATAATAAAGTAATTAATATATATTTATAAATTAGTGTTATTCACTAATAAACCTAACTTACATATATTACACACTGAGTATTTTGACAATCAAAAACATTAAAACTATTTTACATGCCTAAAAATATGTATTTCAATGTATATTACCTTTTTCCACCTAATTCCAATGTAACAGGGGTTAAAAATTCATTTGCAGCAGCTCTTACAATTTTTCCAACAACTGTTGAACCTGTATAAAATATATAATCAAATCTCTGTTTGAGCAATTGGGTAGTCTCTTCTACTCCACCAAGAATAACTGGAAAAGCGTCCTATAAAACAATATTTGATTAATATTTATTATTAACTATAAAATAAAACCATTTACTTTATTGAGATACTTAGGTATAAGTTCAGCAATTAGTTTTCCAGTAGCTGGGGCCATTTCTGAAGGTTTAATGACTACACTGTTACCGGCTGCTATTGCACCAATTGCAGGTAACAATGTTAGTTGCAATGGATAATTCCAAGCACCCATTACCAGCACAACTCCATAAGGATCTTTATGTATTAGAATTTCATCCAAAATATTTAACAAAGGTTTGTCAGGCTACAAATTTATTTAAATAAAATGTTTATGTATAAATAAATCAAAATAATTGTATACTTACATGTTCTTCTTTCATCCATGAATCAACTGAATCCAAAGCATTTATGATATCATTTTTCAAAAAATCAATTTCAAATATAACAGCTTCGTGTTTACACTGTAAAATATAAATAAATAATAAACTTGAGAATACTCATTAAAATGAAATAAAATAGACACAAACTTTTTTTAAGTCTGATGCCAATGCTATTTCGAAGTCTGAGCCATTTTCATTCAAAAGTTTTAGAAGTTGTCTCAAATTATGTTTTCTTATGTGTAAAGATTTTGTTTGATTACTATTATAAGCTGTTCTAGCTTTTTCCACAATCTATAAAAATAAAAAAATAACTTAATTAATCAATTTTTTGACTAAAAGTAATGTATCTGGATTAATGTTCATTAATATTAACACTAGAAAAGCATCATTTTTACTTCTGAAATAACATTCAGATAAGCTGTTAGTCTTCTATAACTGAATTAATGTGTTAATATATTTTTATCAATTTGATTAAGAAATCATAAAAATATACAAAATAATTCACTTATCATGAACTACTTAGTTATTTGAAAAGTACAAATATTAATAGTTTTTTTCTACTGGTTTATTTTGTTCAATATTTTTCTCATTCTATTAGCCATATTGTATTTTTTATGTTTAACCCTTATAAAGTTTTCAAATGGCAATATACATAATTACTGGCTTATTTATTAGATAATGATCTAGTTAACAAAATTACTAATCAATAACAACTTTGGACCATTATTTAAGAAGTTATGAATAATTTAAAGTAATGACTGAATGTGAAGAGTGGGTGCTGTTATTTTTATAACTAGACATTGACCGAGTTCACTCTTCCTCCTGCTAAACATATCAATACTAAGTATAATCATATCAATAACTTCTAAGTTATTGATATGATCATAAGTTGTGTTCGACCAATCATTTTTTTAATTAGATTATTATATATTAAATAAACTAGCTAATTATATTTATAGTTATAGTGTGTTGCCATTTGAGGAATTAAAGTTTGCATTTTTATCGGGTATAAGGGATAAACATAAAAAATTGATTGTTTGAGAGAAATATTGAACTAAAAGAACTATTACTAAAATTTTATTTTTATTTTTTGATTAATTAAGTGGTTCATTACAAGTGAATAACCTGTATTTGTTAAAGAGGTGGGCAAGAACTGCCCATGCACTCAGACCTAGAAGTCCATTGTATGCATCACTCTGTATTTAATACTTACATCAGCATAGTCAGCCATAATTTCATTCAATTTGTCTTCTAAAAAAAAAGTTTCAAAAATAATTTAGTAAAAAGTATAAGTAATTTTCAGAAAACTGATACATAATGTTACAGTATGAATTATTAATTTATGATAACTCTGAAGTTAATATTAAATACATAAATATTTATTATACAGATAAAAAACAACCTAAAGTATTTTCTTTCATATTAAAGTAAAATACGAACTAATTAAATAAAGTTTTTTTTTTTCTAATAGTGTAATATTATGCCATTATTCATTTTAAGTATTAAATTTAAGCTTTTCCCTTATAAATTATGTAATATTTGTATTATATAAAGTAAAATATCAGATTATTAATAACAAAATAAATTATGTCTTGAACAGTCAATTAATAAAGTAATAACTTACAATAATTGAACGAAATAAATAACTATAAAATAATCGCATTAATTACTGGTCAATCGTAGTTATCAGAAAATATTTGAAATTTGAACTTCTTATCTCTTAATACAAGATTATGTTGTAAGTATAATGTGTTAACAATTAACGCCCTATTGACAACCTGAAGTACAATTATTAGTTTACAATATTTAACAGTATAAAACTGACTGAACAAAAAAAAAAAAAATTAATTGATGATTTACAAATTAGCATAGTCTATTATCTAACCTTAAGTACATGCTACATTAGAAACAAATGGTGGTGGTGGTAGCCAATGGTAAAGGAAACTAGAGTACCAGTAACAGGAAGTATTAAATGATGTTTACAACACATTAACATTTTATTAATTGTTAAATAATACTGGCATGAAACTTATATTGTCCGCATTCAAAAACAAAACAGATGATTAGTTGAAAACAATAATTATTTTCATCTATACACCACTTTTGTTTTTGTTTGTTTCATATATTTATTTAACTATTAATGCCTAGATTCAGTACTGACAAAATATTTTTGATTGACAAAAACAGATAAATAAATCTGTTAATCTATTTATTAATAACTAATTTTAAACTTTTCAAAACTATNACAAAATATTTTTGATTGACAAAAACAGATAAATAAATCTGTTTTTTTTTTTTCATGAATAGTCTATTTTTAATAAATTTTATACAGATTTTTATAAGTAGAGTAGAAATATTTATTAGCTAATATGACTTAGACAATATATACGGGTCAATCCATGCCAAATCATCCAGAAGTGGTTGCATGACCACCTCATATTTTTCTGAAATTTTCAGGGTTTATTCATTATGCTATATTTAGATTAAAACAATTTTTATTTTTTTTAATGATCTTCCCATTTTTATGGCTATTTCAATGTAAAAAAAAGTTAAAAATAGGTAGATCGTTAAAAAACACAGATTATTCAATTTCAACTCAATCGAATTAAAATTTTAGATTTGACCCTATTATAACTTAAAGATTACATTAAAAAAAAATTAATGTGAAATTCTAAGCTTAAATGACTCAAAAAATGGCGCTTTTTTTGTGAAAATTGACGTTTTTGAGCTCACTTAAAACCATCAAGAAATTATTATTTTATTGTGATTTTTACATGTGGTATTGTGTAGTGTATAATCTATGTTTCAACTAAATTTCAAATATTTAAAACAATTATCTTGGGATTTAGAGGCCTACAATGTTAGACATTTTATGAAAATACGTGTATTCTAAGTGCAATATCTCTGTTGGGGGACCTAATTTTCAAAAATTCTTTTTTTAGTTTTGTATATATATATCTGCTTTATACACCATAAAAATTTGAAGTTTGAGAAAAATGTGTAACATGTAAAATTTAGCATTAGAAAATCAGTAAAAATCAAATAATTTAATGAAAGTTTTTTGTTGTTTTCAAACCACAAATTTTAAAAATATATCATTGTATATGTAATATATTATAATCAAATTTTTAACTGATATTTATGAAGACACAATATTCTAACTACTAGAAAAACCATGAATATTTATTAAAATATTTTACAATATTATCATAATAATTTTATTTATTTATTTTTTATTTTTCAACTAAAATAATGAATTTTATATTTATAACGTGTCTAATAATTATATTGAATTATAATATATTACATATACAATAATATATAAAAAAATTGTGGTTTGAAAACAACAAAAAACTGTCATTAAATTATTTGATTTTTACTGATTTTCTAATGCTAAATTTTACATGTTACACATTTTTCTCAAACTTCAAATTTTTATGGTGTATAAAGCAGATATATATATACAAAACTAAAAAAAGAATTTTTGAAAATTAGGTCCCCCAACAGAGATATTGCACTTAGAATACACGTATTTTCATAAAATTTCTAACTTTGTAGGCCTCTAATCCCAAGATAATTGTTTTAAATATTTGAAATTTAGTTGAATCATAGATTATACACTACACAATACCACATGTAAAAATCACAATAAAATAATAACTTCTAATGGTTTTAAGTGAGCTCAAAAACGTCAATTTTCACAAAAAAAGCGCCATTTTTTGAGTCATTTAAGCTTAGAATTTCACATTAATTTTTTTTTAATGTAATCTTTAAGTTATAATAGGGTCAAATCTAAAATTGTAATTCGATTGAGTTGAAATTGAATAATCTGTGTGTTTTTTAACAATCTACCTATTTTTAACTTTTTTTACATTAAAATAGCCATAAAAATGGGAAGATCATAAAAAAAAACCCAGCACAGGGGGGTCGCGGCACAGTGGTGACGTGGCATAGTTGGATCAAGTATAATGATATCTGACAGTGATTAAAATCACTATCAAAAAAAAACGCTTCGATGCAAATCTTTAGATAGTGTTTAATTTTAAAAAATTGGTGGATTATTCCAAAAGCTTCATAAACTGCTAGTTCCTTATTAATATCCTGATTAAGACAAAGTATGTAGAATAAAAAAGAGATTATTAGAAAATAGTATTTCCCATAAAAAAATTATATTGATCAATACACTTTTCAATAAGTTATAGCATTATAATGTTAAAAATGTAAAAAATAAAATTGAGAATTTTCACACAATAATAGCATTTGGTAGCCATTTTCACCTTGAAGATAAAATAAAGTCCGAAATTTTTTTTTTCCATGATAAAGTATATTACATTAGCTTTAATTTAAGATATATATAAAAGTGTCAGACTTTCCGGAACACTTTCAAAATTTAAGTTGAAAAAGTCAATTTTTTGTGAAAAAGTTGTCATTTTGAATCCCCCCCTGTAGGCAGGTAAAAAGTCAGATTTATAAAAAAAATATACCAAATGATAGGTAAAGACATCATGCATCTACAAAAAAAAGAATTATATTGATCCATACATCTTTCGAGAAGTTATAGCATTATAAAGTTAAAAATATAAAAAAGAATTTTTTTACAAAAATCGTATTTTTTTTATTAAGTTTAATGTCTGTTTTCACCATGAAGATAAAATAAAGTCCGAAATTTTTTTTTACCATTATAAAGTATATTACATTAGCTTTAATTTAAGATATATATAAAAGTGTCAGACCTTCCGGAACACTTTCAAAAGTTACGTTGAAAAAGTTCTACTTTCTATATGCATTTTTATGTTTTGAATCCCCCCTGTATTTAGGGAAATGGTCCGATTTAAAAAAACAGTATGTCGAATGAAAGATCTATATAAATACTACTTCTCATAAAAAAATTGTAATGATTCATACATTTTTCAAAAAGTTATAGCATAATAAAGTTAAAAATGGAAAATACAAAATCGAAAATTTTCACACAAAAATAGCATTCGGTAGCCATTTTCACCATGAAGATAAGATAAAGTCCGAAATTTTTTTTTTTCATGATAAAGCATATTACATTAGCTTTAATTTAAGATATATATAAAAGTGTCAGACCTTCCGGAACATTTTCAAAATTTAAGTTAAAAAAATTAATTTTTTGTGAAAAAGTTGTCATTTTAAATCCCCCCTTGTGGGCAGGTTAAGGGTTAAATTTATGAAAAAAATATACCAAATGAAAGGTAATGATATTATGCATCTATATAAAAAAGAATTATATTGATATGTTCATTTTTGAAAAAGTTATGGCACTTTTAAGTAAAAAAAATTGAAAAAATTTCGAAAATTAGCGATTTTTAAATTTGTAATTTTTTTGGAGGTTTCCCCCATTTACGGGGAACGAGGGAATTTTTTTCAATTTTTAAGGGTAATGTCTTCGACTAGATACGATTTGTGATCTTTTGACGTATCATTGAAAGAAATCGGTTCGGTGAGAGCTGAGAAAAAGTGGTAACAGACACAAAAAAAAAAAAAAAACACATCTTAGTAAAACCAATACCTTCTCAGCTTCGCATCGAAGCTAAAAAATTGAACAGAAATCGTTGCCAACGTTGGTTATGTTTATGAGACGACTATCAAACAATCATGCAGACAATAATAACAACTCTGGTTGTTCTATTTTATCAAACATATTTTGAAATTCCAATGATAACTTTATTGTTGGAGGTATTATTTCCAGGGATTTTATTCCCGTAGTATTTTTACTTAATGGCGAAGAAAAATCAAACGGCAGCCATCGTTTTATGGAAAATATGTCAATAAACGTTCACTCAGAACTTGGATATAAAATGTTCTCTAGCGAGATCAATGTTTGTTTTTCGAATTTAAATATATTGATTTCGTATCAATCACCATAGAAAATGACAACAGAATTTATTTTATATATGAAAACATATTTCAAATAAACTGTAAATATTGTTATACGTGTTGAATACATTTTAATTTGTACTATTGTAAAATTGACAAATTGTACTTATCTCATACCACTTATAAATATAAATTATGAAAATTTCTTTTTTGAACCACGCTTGATTTAATAACTGAGCAATATTATGACAAACCTAAGCGTGGAATAATAATAGGTTAATGGCACAGGGAAACACTAATTGTAGTGGTCCCGCTATCTCCATAAAAAGAAATGACGAACAAAAAAATATTGTTTAAAACAGTGGTCGGCAACCGGCGGCCCGCTTTAAATTCTAAATCGACTAATTTAATTGAATATC